TATAACGAGCCGAGACGCTTTGATATCGTTAATGTACATCGCGCGGATGTAGCTATTCCCGTAAATTAACGCAAACAATGGTATATATACCGGCGAGTGTCCGCGAGCGAGCGAGCGAGCGAGGGAGCGCGCTGGCCCGACCAGAGAGTGCGCGTGGCGAGTTAAAATTTTAACACTGGCTTAATTCCCGCCGACAACGCGAGCGAAGCGCCTGGCAAATTTAATCTACGAGATTTGAATAATACGTATGCACGCGCAATTTTCGCATAATTCTATATTTAACTGTTGCGAGAGCGGATGAACCCCTCGAGAAAAACGTCTATCGTCCTTCACTCCCTCGGCCCCTCTTACATTTTCTCGTGTCACTTTCCTCGTGTCAGATTGTGTGTCCTTTCGCCGACAGGAATTTGCCACGCGATTGAATTCGCCTCTTTGCGCAAACACTGCGCGCGGAACTGACTGAGCGCACTCAAGCGCGTGCATGCAGTTTCGATTTACGTCTGTCGTGCACACTGAACCTTTCGTGATTACTGTGCGCGGTCGAGGAAAGTATTCCAATGCGATTGCCGTGCATGAATAAACGATTGCGTCAATGGTAGAGTCAACGGTTAAATAATTTTGTGCACGCTGCTTACTCGTCACGGAGCTCTCACCTCATGACGTCAGAAGCGAGAAGAAGGTACACTAAAAATTTTCGCAAAATACGTTGAGATAAAGGAGTGCTGCGTGCACGGAAATATTCGTGTAGAAATACTCGTGCGTAATATCAAGAAGTCTATGAAAAGAAGCATAACAATGGAAGCTGTTAAATCCTCGACAGCTTGGCGCAATATTCCGAAAAACAGAAGACAATTTTTCGGTAAAGATTCTCGTGAATACATAATGCCGTTTATAATATGCAAATATGCTGAAACCGTGATTTCTCCGAATCCTCTCGTGCAACGTTTGCCGAATGCAAAGCATATTTTGTTTTACTAATAATGGCGTTCCTCGTGTTCTTTTTTCCAGATAACGAAATAGACTTTCAAAATGGATTGCGTATATCGGACAGTTTTGTATTTTATTTCGGGCAAACACACGATGCATCGAGTGCATCGACCGCTCGTCGTGTAGTATGTTATTTTTGGCGTCGCCCTATGATATTTGGCGGCGTCCGTGCTTGTTTCGAGATAAAACATCGGGGACGATGGAAAACGCTGTCAAGAATGCATCATCAGTCGAAAACGCCCGAACGCGGCAATCTATCGCGGCGTCCCGCAATGTGTTAACAGTTTCGGGCGCGTGTTACGACGAGACGCGCGGCGAGCGAGCGAGCGAACGAACGAACGGGCGAGCGCGCAATTTTCGAGCGAGCTCTCGCTTAACGAGTTCGAAGACAGGTAAGATTTACGAGAAAAATGCTTGTCAGCGCGGGATGGAATTTATGAAAACTCTCGTTTCGCTCGGGCACGGCGTCAGTCTCCCTCGTCCTGCCTCGCTCCCTTTTCTTTCCCCGCGCGCACTCGTTCGCTCGCTCGTGCTCCTTCCTCCTTATTTCTCATCCATCCATTTCCCCCGCGCAGAACTTGGTGCACCGCCGCTATATGCAGAAAGTACATCGGCTTGTGATGTACTTTTTGCGATACATTAAGCCGTATATTTTATGGAACGTGCGTATAGCGCGGCAACACGCCGGCTGGGCGCTATCGACTGGGACGCAAGTACACACCGCGAGGGGGGAAGGGGAAAAGGACACGAGAGGAAGGGCGTCGCGAAGACACGCGAATAACGTTAAGGGTGCGAGCGAGCGAGCGAGCGAGCGAGTGACTGATGTGACTCACGAGGTCGGCTCTCACGCAGCCAGGCAGGGGTTATCAACCCCTCTCCGTTAAATTGCACTTAACTCAATCTTACGGCCGACAATAGCACCGCTCCCATTCGATAAAAAGTCGCGCGCGCGCGCGCGCGCGCGGTTGATAAACGACAGCTTTATGCAACTCCCATCGATGAATTTCATTCGAGGATCTTACATCCTACGCCGAGTGACTCGTTGCGACAATAGTCGTACTGCAGCTGCCGAGATTTTCGTCCGCTTAATCGTGCAAATTAGCTCGATTTCATCTTCTTTATGCAAATTATAGAATTTCCCCAATTTTCTGTTTATCCCCTTATCACAAATTTTATCTCCACCGCGCGCACGGGTCTGTCATTTTCACTACTCGGGGTTTTGGCAATTGTTATTTTTCACCTCTCCTCGAATATTTGTAACATTGCCATCTCGCGTGGCGCTGGTAATTGTAACTGCCAATGACTCCCGCGGGGGATTCACCCTGGATTCTAAATAAATTTACCATGTTGTAATTAGCGCGTATCAAGGACACGAGAGAGACACGAGAGTTTGTGTCGCAACAATGACGGTAATAGGCAAATCTTCGCTCGTACGCGACAACTAAAAATGCACGCCGTTACTCCTCCCATCTAATTACAATAATAATAGCCGGCGTAACGGTGCCGCCGAACGAATTTACATAAACGCCCGGCATACTTCATTATCGCGCAGCTATCGATCGTGGAAAATAACCGGGTGGCCCGGTCGGGTTCAGGAATCGCGAATTCTCGAGTTGCCGATCACCCCGCGATTATCCGGATCGACTGGTTTGGCGGCGGCGGCGGCGGCGGCGGCGGCAGGTGCGGAAGAGCAGAGCGAGCGGCACGCGTGGGATCGGATGGGGTTTCCGGTCGTCTCGAACGAGTTTCCTCCTCCGTCGTTTCTTTACGGCAATTTCTAGCAAGATTGCCAGGTCGCGGCGTGCACACGCCCGCGTATCGGTCCCTCACCGTTCGTACACGGCCCCGATGCATACCGATGCGCGAGTATGCGAACGTATCCATAATACATAGCGTCTACACGCACGCGCGGTCGCGTGCGAGGAAGACGCGCGCTCGTTATGCGGGTGTGCGAGGCACGTGCATGCCACCGTGTACGCGTTGCATATATAGAGCGGCGGCGAAGCCGCATCTAATGTACACTTTTCACGTCGCGGCAAACTGCGGCGGGCACCGTAAAGATAGTCGGGGAAGTACTCCCCGGTATTACGTGACGTGCTGCTCGATAATGATACCGCCGTAGTGATAAAAACAAAGTGAGCGTTATATATTCGTATATATGTATGTACGTACACGCGTCGCTGTACGTAGCTAGCGGCTAGCGTACATTAAGCGCTCGAAGGTAATGATAATGGGATGCATCGCGCTTTAACGAAACGCCGCGGCGCGCACTGTAAAATTATTCCTTTGTTTGTTCTCTCTCTTTCTCTTTTATCGCAACTTTTCCCCCCCTCTCTCTCTCTCTCTCTCTCGGGGGATATTATTAATATATTTTGCGGATCTTCTCCCCGCAGTTTTCGTTTAACAATAATGCATGCACTCCATAGTTTCGTCGAGAACATTCGCCCTAGTCGATTACATTCATATATTTAATGCTTTCACGGATGGAAAGTATGGCGGAAAGAAAAAGAAAACGTAGACGCAGAGAATTCTGCGGAAATACGAGTGCATTGATCATAATCGGACTTTCTCACTCGAAACACTCGGCGGCAAGGATTTTTCGATCGTGCGGTAAATTGGCGCGATATTCGTCTTACGCGTTTTACGCGCGTATCGTGAAAGTAGTACGTCCATGTTTGAATAGCACTCATCTGTGGTCGGTCACGAATCGCACCGCGCAGAGTAAGACGGAACAATGTGTATGTATGTGTGTGCTATTTTTGAATTAATAAATATACAATAAACGGATAGATCAGATCTCTTATCCAGACGTTAATGGACGTACACGGCAAGTTGGCGCGCGGTTATGTTTAACAGAGAGAGATCTTCAACATTTTACATTTACATATCGGCGAGATCGTAGATTAACGTCCATCCGTCCGTTCGCCCGGCGATCTCCAAAGTAGTGCGCGCGCGCGTTTCGAGCGCGACAGTAGTCATAGCGAGGCGCGGTCAGACACGCGAGCCCCGGCCGTTGCTCTTCCTGAATACCAAACGACGCAAGTGCAGCGTAAATAATAAACCGATGTCGTCGTGCCGTATCGATTGCGCATTATCGTATCTCTGGCGGTGAAATATCATATCGTGCCAAAAGTGGCAGCTCGAGAGAACACGATCGCGCCTGTACGCGGAAAACATTGGATTCGCACGCCTACGGAATACGGCGATAAGGTAAAAATATCCGGACATGTATCTCTTATTGTCTTCTCAAATATAGATATTTCCATATAAAATATACATACATTCGAGTATATACATACATTCTATATGAAAAGTTGAAATATTGAAATACGAATTTAGCAAAATAATGTCCAGGATTAGATACGTGTCCGGGAATTTGCGAAAGTTTCGCAAATAAGGGTACAGGTATTGCGCGTCATCTTCGTCGGGAGACCGGCGGATGATGCACACTTTATGAGCGAACGCGCGCGCATGGTCGAGCACGAAGTGTGCTTCGCGCGAACGGGGCCAGGTGTGCTCTCGGCAAACGAGATGGATGTGCTGGATGTTCGCGTATCGCGTGACCACTCGATCAACGCCGCCGCGGGTTGACAGTGACTTACGCACCCGGGCACTCAACGAGATATGACATGCGCCACCGGTCGCGCCGATGGGGTGCCCCATTGTTACCTACCTGTGTACCCGCCAAACACCCTTAATCTTTCTATCTTTCATAGCTTTTGTCATCGTTCGATCGCTCACGTAGCCCATTTCTCTCTCGCGCTATGCCGCGCCGCCGCTTCTTTCCCGACTCTTATCGGCCTACTTCCGCGTTTCTCGCGAATCAAGCGTGACGCTCGCTCGCACGATAACGTCGTTTATCGCCGTCGCGTCGTCCTAGCGCACTCTCGCTCTCTCGTCGTCTCGGGGCTCGGCATTTTAAACGGATGGCACGCGTCACTCTCGCGCGAGACGACCTCGTCGTTCGCGCGCCACGGTCGTATTTATCGATTGACAGACGGTGTGTTACTTACCGGAATCCAGGACCGTGTATCGTGGATTCGACGTATCGATAGGCAGCATATCTCGCACCCAAAAGATGATGGGCGGCGGGGATCCAATCGCGGTGCAGAGAAGGACCGCGTTGTGACCCTTCTCGACCACCTTCGTCGTGGGCGCTTGAGTGATCATCGGGAAACCGGTCGGTAGATGCTCCACTGTAATCACAAAGGGAGCAGCAGCCACTTTAGTTGTTAGGTCGAAACGGCGTTCAAAAGTCCGCGGAAGTAACTGACGTATTATACGCGGCAAAGTGGAACAGTTGATAACGTTACATAGCTGGAAGGAGAGGGAGCTTATGCTGCTTTTGAGAAAATTCTCCAAAGAGCGAACGCGTAATAGTTGCAAATAATACATGGAAGCGCGGGCTCAACTCGCGGTAAAGTAAACGATAGCGAAATATAAAATAAATAGACACGCGGTATATCTCAAGATAACCCGCTTGCATATTTTAACAAGCGCGAAGACAGAAAGGGAGCCCCTAATCCGAAAGTTTCGTACTTTCCGTCAGAAGGCTTAGCATATTATTACATCAAGCCCCTCTCAAGACGTGTATTTGCAAAATCGTTTTAATCACTCGAGTTTTAATCACTCAGAGAACGAGTCGAGATTTCGTATACTTTAAGATAGAACGAGATTAATAATACTTAAATTTTCATATTTGAGAGTGTATTTTGCGCACTATCAATCAAAAAACTTTATTCCCAGCCGTTCTCACCCATCTCTTTAAACGCCCGAGTGTTCGAATAAATTATATATATGGAATACACGTGACTATACGGAAATATGGTGGAAAACATCAAAATATCTGACAGGTCTTTTGCATCGGGCGCATGGGGCGAACTTAGCGACTTGTCAATTATACATTGGATGTGTCGCACAGCTAGACCGGGATGGGTCTCGTGGATCGTAGACGAGTATCTGGTTGGCGACCGGTCTCGCGGGATCGAAAGTTAGGAAAAGCCACTGGAACTGGCCGGCCGCGCTGTTCCCATTTCCCACTGCGGAAAACAGATCTTCCGTCCCTCGGAAGGTAGTTCGCTGATATGGATAGATGCGCTGGGACGCTGATGCGATCAGGAACGGAATCACAGAATTCAATATACCGCTGCGCGGCGGTCTTTTGAAAGGATTTGCCAAAAGGATCAATCGCATGACTTTGCCGCGTCGAGTGATTTTAGATTCCTTACTATTAATTATACTCTGCTCCCCTCCAAATGAATCAGCAAAATTGTTTCTGATTGAATCGATAAAAGAGCTATTTTATCGATGAGTAGAGAATACTCGCTGATTTTCAATGAAGACACTCCCACTTTACTACTCCATCTTACATCTCACTGATTTTTAGTGCAAGTAAGATTTCACTGCGAGAGATCTATGGTGCATAAATTCGTTATAAAACGAATTGAACCAATTTTCTGTGTTTGTGACGATGGAATTAACAACTTCCATGCACCTTGCGTGCAATGATTTGCTTATATTCGCAAAGTGCATCTTAATACTGGCAATAGTATTAACTACTATTAGCTGATTCCTTCGGCAAGATTTTGCCGATTGCAATGCTATATTTGTACTATATTTGTACTATATGCTATATTTTTACTAACAAGAAAACCTACCTAAAGTTTACATTTTGATTTCTTTCTAATTTGGCATAAATGTAGAAGTAGAAAAAATATTTAGATCATATTTTTTATTTTGGCCCAATCATCATTTTGAGTTTCGCGCGCAGTTTATAGCTTTTTAATGTTCTCACTCCTATCATCAACAGTGTAACAAAAATGCACAAAGAATAAAATGGAAATACAAGATAGGCGTTTTTGGTTTGCTGATTATAAATATAAAGTCAAATATGTAAAATTATTTTAATAAATAATAAAATGTTTAAACAAAATATATAAAAAGTTAAAAAACATTATTTATACAGATAATTTCTCGGTTTAACCGAGATTCGAACCATTTTTTACTAATTCAGCACAGATTTGAAATACTTCGGTTGGAATCTCGGCTAAAGAAATTTAGAATGGTTCGTGTCTCAGCTATGCCGATTTTGTTAAAATTATTCAACTATATCTTATATTCAATTTTATTCCTTATACATTTTTGTTACACTTGATGATAGGAGTGAGAACATTAAAAAGCTATAAACTGCCCGTGAAACTCAAAGTTGGCTAATGAAAAAAATATGACCTAAACATTTTTTGTACTTGTACATTTGTGTCAAATTAGAAAGAAATCTGAGTGTACCTTTTGGGTAGGTTTACTTATAAGCTACCAGGTATAACGTAAGGTATTCACAATTTTGTCTGTGTAGCGGCGATCGTGCAACAAACGCAATTAATTGACGCTTTTGTTAACGAGGCGCTAATTAAAACGGGTGGACGTCTAACGAGACAAATGTATGACGTTTGCATTTTGAGAAACGGCGAAATAGAATTCGCGAAATGACGTCTACGGCGACCTCGTATATTCGTGAATCTTAATAAGTCGCGCGAAACCATCCGCCACGATTGGATCGATATCTAATTAAAAAAGTTGATATGATCGAGCGCGTCAAAGGAGACCGAGGACGCACGAGTCGTACGTGAAGTTTAGCCTCGTAGGGAGCAGCAGGGAGATTAATTCGACCTGTTTCGAGGTGATCCGACCCACATCGCTCCCCGTTCTTCATGTAATTACGACGGCGCTACATTAATCCTTTGGGTGAACTCGTAGTTAAATCTAAGTTGGCGACGCGGCACACGAAGTTGCAAACAACTCCCGCGATTGTCCTGCTTCCGTTTCGACGGCACTCATACGACAGGAATGAAGACAGTTCACTCGAGTCGATTTAATAACAATTTCTCGACCCACTGACTGCTCGTTCGAGAAACGCTCTCGTGATTATTCGCCAAGTTTGTTTTGCGTAAACACGCGGAATTAAGGACCCGACAAACAGAAACGCATAGAATCGTGCAATCTCACATAGATCAAAGAAACCTGACGTTAGAGCTCGAAAATTGTTTCAATGTTGGCGTTTTCATCGGCGTTTTCGTTAACGGCGGGAACGCGCGACTTATTTTATATCGCATTTTTCACGAGGGATTGCTTAATTGGCGACGGTACAACAACGTCCTAATTGCAGTTTGCAAGAAGGTCGGCTCTGTAATTTTTACAGAGCATCTAAGGTTAAAGTCACCGGAAAGCGAATTCAAGACTTATTACAAGGCCCACGAACTGGGTGAAAGTTCGCCGTAAGGGCGCGATCAAACTGCAATTACCACCGGCGCCTCGGGGCGGCTCTTAGAAAGTCCATCTTTCACAGTCTCGTCAATTACAAGAGCAATCGGAACTCGCGGGCGAAGTTAGTGGTCGGCGGTACTTTTGCGTATTCTGATCTACTCTCGCCCCCGTTCGCAAATAACTTTTAAAGCACTGAACCTGTTGGATCTTGGCGAAACCTGGTCGCCCTCTAGCGTCACGATACGGGCTGGCGCAACTGCGTTCAGTCGCTTTGATAACGTTGACATTATTGTCTTTGGTCGTTAACGTTAACGGCGAGTGGCCGCCGATGGGCGGCTAAAAGAAAATTTATCGGATTTTCCCTTGCTCGCTTCTTCATCGCCTTCTTTCATTCATCCGTTTAATTCCTGTTATCGAGAGTTTCATCGAGTAATTATTCGATATAGCTAGTGCGCGAATCTCTTTTAGTCGGTCAGTGATATCTCTAATCTGACATTGTCGGGCACACTTTGACACGACACCGCAACCGTTGCGCGCATTAAATGCATTTGTCCAATTTTCCAGAGTTTTCGACGTTTATTTTAAACGATGATAACCAGAGTTAGAGATCTCCAACTCTCCAACTTTGGTAACGACATCTTTATGATATAGAACGCGAGTCCAGGTCTCCCGACTAATCATTTTAGTTACCATCGAAAATCAAAGAGAGAAAGAGAGTTTGAGACTCTTATATAAATTACGTTTCCAACTTTTACGTAAACAGAGAGAGAAGAAAATTTAGTTACCTCGTTAGCGTCTATTCACATTGACGCAGTAAGATTCGTAGCGTAGCTCGCGACGTACGTGCATCGCAACACGCGTCGAAACGCCCCGGTTAATGGAAGATTGCGAGATGCACCGACTAATCGCGCGAAGAATCGCCGGTGCATCTCTCGTGCGCATCGCGCGGCGATAAAACCGTGGCAAGTAGGTCGAGCGATTTACCGGCTATTTGTTAGCGTAGTCGGCTGGCTACATTAAGGAACTCGCGAGCTATTATATGAGTCGCGGCTTGAGTCTGTCAAACTCGACGGGATTCGCGTGCTATTATCGCGACGGAGAACCAAGGGGTGAAGAAGGAGAGAGAGAGAGCGAGAGAGTGCCGATGCTCGACAACCTCCACGACTTTCTCTCGGGGTCTTCCTCCCCTATTGTCTTCTTCCGTGGCGCCGCTTCTTTGTCCTCGTTATCGTCCGAGTTATCCGGCGCGCGGCTGCGCCAATTATATTGGCGGTCGGGAGAGCGTTTCGCGGCCGACAATAGAAATCGCCTGCAGACTTTGCGCGTGGTCCCCGCAGCCATTTCCACCTTCCTCCTACTTCACCGTTATATCCTCTCTTTCCTCCGCGCGCGCTTTTCCACCAGCGGCGACAAACAATACAAGCGCCCGACGTCGACTGCGCCGCGCGACGACAACAAAGTCGTCGGTGAAGCTATTGTCCGCTTGGCGATCCGGCCACCGCGCCTTCCTCGTGTCCGAGGTCGCGCGCGACGACTATTGTACGACCGTGGAACGAGCCCTACGACGGCGACGACGACGACGACGACGACGACGACGACGACGACGACAACGACGACGACAACGGTTGCCTTCCCCTTGGAAGACATCGTGATTTTGCGGGAATTTGTCTTCCTCCCCTGCCGTCGCCCTCCCTGGGACGTTCTTTCATACCAGGTGCCTTCCTTGCGATTTCTCACTCGGCAACGCTTGGTCATGCACGCAAATGTGCGCGCGTAAAAGCGCAAATAAGATGGACCGAGCGCGTGTGAACGAGTTATCGTCGACGAACGCCTTCCTTTTTATTATTCCTTTTTACGGCGCTTCCTCGGTCGCTTCGTATTCGCGTGTCGAGCTTCATTTTTTATCGTTATATTTGGGTTTATGTCTGCCGCAACG